CAAGAAGCAATACTTAATGGCAATACACCGGAGTGATAAAGTTTGTTGTGTTTAAAAAAAAAAAAAAAAAAAAAAGTACCTCCAATGATTTTTTTTTTTTTTTTTTTAATTTTTATTTTTCTCCTGAAAGATTAAAATGTGACTCAAACCAGTGCCTTCTAATTTTGGTAGTGAATCTCAGTGTTTTTACCATTGCAGCAGTTTGAGATGTGAAGGCTAAGAACAAAGCAGCACAAGAAGAAAGTCTGGAGGTGACAGGGAGGAGTTAACACAGAATAAGTAATAGCTCAGGTGAGGCTGCCTCTGGGAAATCACCATTTAGTGCTGTAGTTTCTTTCATTCTGATTCTCTTGATTCCATATAACAAATGTGACTGCTTTTGAGGTACATGCCCTGTCTTTCCACGTATTCCCTGTAGCTGACAGGAATCTTTGACCAAAAAAAGCAAGCAACATTGGGAAGTAGTAGTATTATACATCTAAAACCAGGAGCTGTATGACTCCTAGTGGAATATCTGCAGTATGTGTGGTACGTGTCATCAGAAGCTGCTACATTTTAATAGGAATTCTGCAAAGTTGTCTTCCAGCAACTTTTAAGGCATTTACATAAAATCACTGAGCTCATCTGGCTTTTGTTTTTCCTTGCAGCAAGAAGCAGAGCAGTTTTTTTTAATACGTAGTGTTGTGGTTTTCCTAGGATAGCAGTATAAGTGCTTATGGTGTTCACTGTTAACTGTATTGCATGTGCTGTGCTTCTCTGCCTGAAGTGTATGCCACTTGTGCAGGGTATTTACCATGGCAAATGTTTTTGATAAACAACTTTAAAAGATTCATTGATTAAATCCTGTCTGTACTGTCTGCGCTGCTGTCTATGCATGTTCCTGTGCTTACACATGTCTTTTGTCTTCTTGCAAAACTTCTGTAATGCTTTTGGAAGTTTATGTGCTGTCGTCCTGCCCTGCAGTTGGAGTTTGGCTTTTGCATGCTCCTCTGTATCCACCTGTTTCTGCCATGCTGACTTTGATGAGAGGGAGCTCTTAGCCTAACTGGCTGCTGACATAGGTGTAGCACATGCCCTGAAAGCCCTTTCTCTGACTGACCTTGAGAAGTAAACTTTTCATTAACAGATAGGTTAAGAATAATGCTAGCTTGATGTGTCCTGTTTTGGCTGCTTGCAGTGGGAACTTAATAATGCAATTTATCTGTTTGCTTGATTCTTTTTTTCCCCTTTGTAAATCCATGATAGGGTGACACATGGAGGTCCTTCTGTGAAGACCTGTCCAAACTTAGAAAAAGGGCAGTTGTGAAGGTGCAAGTAAAAGCAAGTTTACTGTTAATGACTTTTATCAGTTGCATTTTTCCCTTACTTTGATAACTCTGATGGAGTTATCTGTGCACCTAATAAGACAGCAGAGGTCTCTGCTGGTGAAGCATGCAGTTAGCTACCTATCTAGTTGTGAATTTATGTTTAGTGGGGTGACTTAAATGAGAACTGTGTCTGTGTAGAAGACACTGCTCTGTCCCTGATGTCAGGTGGCCTGTAATCGTGCTAAGAGCTACCAATGTAAGAATGTTACGTGAGAATTTGTTTTGTACTTGTCATTGAAGAATTTGCCTAAAGTGAGACAAGAAGCAAAACCTTTTCTCTGTGGAGCTGGAGTCTGGTTCTGGTGGTCCCTGAGCTTAAGGCACTGCAAGAACTGATGCTATCTGTAGTACAGAGTGTTCTTTAAAGCACAACTTTGCACAGCACTTAGGTAAGAATGTAAGCTGAGGTGTGCTTACAGTGTGTGTGTACATCCATAATCCCATCCTCTGTACCAGAGACATTATCATGATAATTGTAGGAATTGTATGTAGGTCACTCCAAATCTAATGACTCCTATTTATTTCCACGGGAATCACAACAGTTACAAAGAACACTATAACACTACTTTATAGAGCAAATTCTCAGCTACAAGATGCTGTGTTTTTGTTGTGGTTTTTTTTTTTTTGTTTTTTTAACATAGTCACTACCATCAGCTATTTGCTGCATTTTTACCAGCTGTGAACAACAGCCTGCACTCATCAAAATCTGTACCAGCGGAGGATGACCTGCTGTTGCCACTGCTGAAACACATCACCCAGTGCCTCAGTGTGCTCACATCCACTCTTTGGTCTCCATAAACATTCAGCAAGTCTTGATGAATGTCAGTGGGTGCCATTTTTTCTGCCTGGAGGAATTCGGTGACGCATTTTTGCTTTTTCTTCACTCCCATGTCAAACACTGTTTTGTCAGGCTGTCCTTCTGCTCTGTATGAGCACAGTGGTAGAATAATACCAGGAGGTGAAATTAATTTGTCTTGAATCGATGCTTATATTACTTAAAGAGTCTTTCTTAATGAAATGTTATTTTTGACAATGCAAGGCAACCTTAATTTTAGCATTTTTCACAAGCAGGGGCATCTCTAAAAGAGAAAAAGTGTTACATACTGTTTCTGATTAGAACTGATTTATTTATTTATTCATCAGTAGCTATTGGTGATTAACCTCAACTGTTAGTTTGCAACCTTTTGTCTCTTCCTGAGAAAGGCATTAGAAGCTTTGATGTGATCTCCATTTATTAGGTGCTAAGCCATTTGAGTTGTCACTGCCATCTGTCTGCTCATCCAGAAATGAGCAACTACTTACAGACAGCTATAGATGTAGATGTTACACATCTCCAGAGTAGCTGCTATTTGGAGCCCAGGCTGTCAGCTTGAGGACACCAAATTCAACTGTAATTCATCAAGTTTTGAAATTGTAGTAACCTGGGAGCTTTGCTGCATGATGCAGTAAAACTTTGTGGTTTCATGAATTGGAGCTACAATAATAAAGTTAAGAGGTCTTGAGAGTATTAGGGAAGAGAAGGCACTTGTGTTTTTTTTCCTGTGCAGGGTTGACTTACAGAGCCTGCTGATTGTCGTTTGCTTTTACCCCTCCCCAGCAGCTGTTCATTCTTGTTTGTTGAGATCTCTTAAATGAGTTTGTGGAGCAGTGCTGTGAAGATTGTTAGAGTCTAATAAATAACTTTCTGCAAATCACTGTATTTGCAGCCTGCGTCAGTTCCATGTTGTTGGAGAGATGCTGTGCTGAAAGTCAGGTTAGCTTTCATTGTGCAAGCCAGAGGGTGGTGCAGATGGCTCAAAGTGGGAGTGAGTGGGACAAAGGGAGACGCTTTGGTTGGCACTGTTTGTGAGGAAAACATACTGTGAAACTCTTGGCCTTGATAAAACTTTTAAGTTGCCTTCATCTTAGCTGCAGTGTAGTAAGCCTGGGGGGATTTCTACACTTGTCCAAAATTTTCTGACTTAAGCCGCCACTGTAGGCAGCATGTTTTAAAACTACTTCAGTATTAAACCTTGCCTCAAAGCACTGCAATTCTGCTATTTATCTCTGGCATAAGTGCAGCTGCTAAAATACATTTCTACAGTATCGTTGTTTTGTTTCCACGCATGTACGAGTTCTCAAGTCTTGACAACCACAGTCACTACACTGTGAAATTCTATATTGCTCTGCAACCACCTGGGTGTGTGTTGGCAAAGGAAATAGGTAGAAATGGGTATTGGGGGAAAGGTAGTGTGAAGTTCGTGCTCAGTTATTGACTGCGTAGCTATAGCTTGATTGTATCTTATGAAGCTTCTAAAAAATTAAGCTTAAGATAATAGTATCACACTTGAAATACAGACTTGCTACAGCATCTGGAATGAAGAGATGCTGGTTTCCAAAGAAAGTATTGCATGGAAAGCTTGTGTGCTTTAATTGATTTGTTAGCTGTTAAATAAGTTACTTCAACTCTGGCTTCCCTTCCCATATGATCCTATGGATGCCATGCAAAAATGACCTGTACTGTTCTGCGGGGTATGATTATCATTCTTTGATGTATTTAGGACCATCCTTTTCCCTAAGTGTTGATGTTTCTTTGGTTACAATGTTTTATAAAATAGACTCCTTATTGTATTTGCCTGTAAACTGAAATTTGAGAACAGTCTACAGAAATTCAAACATCATTATTGACCCGGCTCTTTTTTCAGTGTGCTGTTATTATTAATGTAGTAATTTATTGAAGCTTATCTTGGTTTCCTTCTTGTCGTCCAGCCACTCCCTTGCACATCAGGCAACACCCTCCATAGTAGGTTTGGAGAAAGTTACAGAACTGTATGCCAATAAGTAGTGTAGTTGAAGCTGTGACATTCTTACAGCTATGGTGTTGCCTTGGGTGAGCACTTGCCTTGTTATTTCAAATATTTTCTGTAACAGTCACCAATACAACACATCAACCATAATTGAGGTGCACACCTATTATGCAACTGGTCAAATTCTTTTTTTCGGGAGATAGCTTTTAGGTAACAAGATGATGTGCCGTGGGGATTTGATGCAGAAAGCTTTGCTCTGTTCTGTGTTCTGACATATATGCAATGTTGAGGCTGTGTATACAATGAGTTGTTTGTCTGTGATGCCATGTCCACCACATGGATGAGTACAGTGGTTATGTCAGCATCTTTAGGCTTAAGGCTATGGAGAAACACAGAGGATACTTGTTTTCTTACAGCAGTGTAGGCTTCCATAGCAGAATCTTGTTTGAATATTGTCCAGTTCTTTTGGATCTCATAATCCCGAGAATACATTCTTTATCTTATTGAACTGTTCATTTCTGTTTCTGGATTTCTGTGGGTTTTGTTTAGTTGGATTTTTATTGTGGGTTGTTTTTTGGTGTTTTTTTTTCCTCTTTAGTAGGTCTTGAAAATCCCTGCTCTGTGAATTCGGTTATTTGAAAGTCTTGGTGGATGAGGAGGCTTTTTCACACCAGCCTTGTATATGGAGACTAACAGTGTTTGTCATGACTGAACCTAGCTGGATTAGGGATTTGGGCGAGGGAAGGGCAGAATCAGTTACAAGATCAGAGGGATTACTCAGAAATGCCTGTTTGATGTTCCTTGAATGAGTATCTTACAGCTGCCTCTCTTTAAATTTTTACTTCAGATAGATCACATCGTGCACAATGGAGGATTATACAAAAGACCTTTCAATGAAGCTTTTGAAGAAACACCAATGCTGGTTGCTGTGCTGACCTATGTAGGCTATGGTGTTCTCACACTCTTTGGGTATCTGCGAGATTTCATGCGGCAGTGGAAGATTGAGAAGTGTCAAAATGCAATAGAAAGAGAAGAACAAAAGGTAAAGACTGAGAAATTTCAATGTGGAAATTGTGTGGCTGAGGCCTCTAGTTTAAATATTTATTTGCAGAGCAATATTGTTCAAAATTTTCTACTGTTCTTCTTGTATCTGAAATGCTCTGTGTGTTATGCTAGTACTGTGGTATGGTTAAACAAAACAATGTTTTGTTTATTTGGGTTATGTTTTGGTGGCATAGTTATATGGTCTGTTTTACTGGAAACTACATCAACAATTATGTCAATGTGCTGAGTGATGCCTCGGCTGCAGAAACAAGTGTTTCAGGGAGAAACACCTCATATGCCAGCACAAGTAGCAAGAGAAATGCTTCTTGAAGGATCGAGCTGGAGTTTCACAGCAGTGGTATGCTTTCTGATGCTGTTCTGGTTGCTGTCTGTGTTTTGATTTGGAAGCATTCCCTCCAGCCCAAGTATCTGTAAAGAGAAGCTTGCAGTAAGAGCCAGAGTGTAAATTGGATGATTTTGAATTAACATGAGATTCAAAACGGTATTGGGTTAGCTGGTGAGTAATTTGAGGCACTGACTCACTGATAGCATTTAAAGAATTTTAAAAGCCTTTTAGTGAAAGTTTCTGTTAGCAGTTAAAAAGTCTTGCCATCTCCAGCAGTCAGTGTAATACCGATAATCTTAAATTGTTTTAAATAATTTTTAGAGGCCTTTAGTCCCCACTCAAGTTACTGTTAAGGAGCTGCCACTTAAACTGGCAGTTTGTAAGCTATTTCTGCTAACTCTCAGTGTGAGCTGTCCTAGCATAGTGTGAATACCAGTGAGGTTTCCTCCGAAAGTCAAAGTAGATTGGCTTACTCTTGCTGACCAGGGTTCTGTTTTTCTCGGTCACCGATCCAGCTTGCAATACTTCAAGGCAGTTTGTTTTTCGCTTGCTGGTTTCTGGTTCTCTAGGCAGCCACACAAGCAGTTGGAACTGGCTAGCAGAAAATAAGGGTGGGGGGAAGCAGCTCAAGAATGTAAACAAATTACTAAGGATAGGAGGGTGGAAGGAGGAAAGACAAAAGACAACTTCTTTTAGAGGCAGCATGAGGCAAAGTTTGTATCATGCTGTGGTAGATGAGATAAGATGCAGTGCTGATGCCTAAAATGATTTCATGGTAGCTTCTTCTTATACTTATAGTAGCTTGTGGTAGAATTAAGCTGACTCATGGTAAGACACATAATTCCAAAACAGAAATATTCTTTCAGGAATTTAATGAGGAATAGATATTTCATGTTTGGTAACAGTGGGGAAGCTAAATTTATACTATTTCCAAAACTAACTTCTGGAATCTAGAAGCAAAACTTTTATTCCCTTTCAATATCCAAAATCTGAATGAATATTGCAAGCTAAATCTCCATTTGTAACTCGATGTGTTGTTTAATTTGAGCTACTTTGGTTTATATCACTTGAGAATATGACATCATTGTATTTTTCTACTTATATCCTTGAAATTGATGCAGAAAAGAAGAGCAAACAGCTGCAAAAATATACCAGTGCTAGATGTTAGGAGTTTAAGTATTTGTACTCATGATACTTGAGGATTAAAAAGAAGTAACTGAAAGATTGGCTACTGTATTTCTGTGAAACACTTGTTCCCATACCAAGTGGGAAAGGTGCCTGCTTACAGTAGCCTTTTTCTATGAGAGTGGTGATAACTGTACGTTCACTTCTGTTACAGAAGACCTCAGGCAGCAGTTCTGATTGGGGGTAGGTTATTGATATTGGGTTCTCCATAAGGACTGTCACAGGTGACACAAGCAGAGAGTTTGTTAGCAACTGATTATCCCAGTTCAAAAATAAATTTAATCTTAATTTTTTTTTATTTTCTGAATTAATTCTAGCATTGCATCTTCTCCTGAAAGGCTTCTGTTAAACAAGTAAGTTTCCCAGACAGATGAATTGAAACTCCCTGTGTGTTGACCTTGGCTTTCAGGGAAGAGCTGCACGTGTTGTGTTTTTGTTTTGTGCATAAGATTTCTGTGGCTGGATCTAATGAGAAGCACTTCTATCTGAAGGCTCAATTTGCTGTGTATCATGTCATGGATAGGCCAGTCAATACTGCATATGGATGGAAAATAAGAGGTCCTGTTCAAAAAAGTTCAGGAGTGAAAGAAATGCCAGTGTAGTGTACTTCCCTAAATCATGTTTTTAGTGCTTAGGTTGGAACAGCTATTTCTGATGCTGGACAAATAGAAAAGTGATCATGTTAGATTCAGAACTTGACCTCACATTTTGATGCTTTGAGTTTTTTTGTCTGCAAATGAATTGATGGTAAGGTGTTGCAGTGTACCCAGTGTGGGAGCCAGGTTTTGTTGTGGTACAGGGGAGTGCTCAATATCTTGGTTTGAGACATTTTGTCATTTTCACATACTTGAATCTCTCAGGCAACTGGCTGACATCCCTACTGATACCAGCGTGCAGGAAAAGCTTAAAACTCCTGTTTTTTAAAATTAATATATCAGAGAAGCCCTGGTGTAGTTTCTAGCAGATTTAGGTCCAGTGACCTCTTTATGTGAAGTACTATTTTTATTACATGAATCTCAAATTGATTATAATTTTCTTAGCAATCAAGCAAAACAATTGGCTTTAGTTTTCTGAAATAGTTTATAAAACACTTTGTAGGTGAAGAGCTCAAAGCAAAGGCATTGGAAGTAACTGTGTAGATGAGCAGTATGAAGATGTTCTGTGTGAGCAGAACTAAATTACACTCTGCAAGGAAACGTCCCCGAATGATGCGTCCTGAAGTCATGGAATTGAAGTATATGGATATTTCCTCGTGGTGTGTTTCTGAAAACGATTGAAGTTAACAGCACTGAGTAAGCTTCAGTCTGGAATGTGGTTTTAGGGGAAAAAAAAAAAAAAAAAAAAAAAAAAAAAGGGGGAGAAAAAAGCCTTGTGATTTTTTTTGTTTTGGAGAGCACTTGATTTCAGTAGCTAAGTTCTTGCTGAAACTGTTACATCATACTGTGTGCACCAGAACTAGAAAATGGAACTGGACAAAGATAACTGGAAGAGTAGGATTTCTAATGCATGTATGTTGGGACTGCCTCTGACAGTGGGTAAATATCTTGCAACTTATTAGAGAGCAGCACAAAGCAATGAATGATTCTAGAAAAAACTAGTATTTGCCAGCACTACACAAAAAGGTAAAGGCTTTGCTAGTGTGGATTACCAGGAGGGTGTAGTCATTGTGTTTTGGCATCAGTTCAAATATATCCATCTGGGCTTTTCCTGGAGACTGGTACGTGTAGCATATCCTGTCAGAAGCACTGGTCTGTTTTAGGCATGGGTGAGTGGAAAGATAAAAACTGCCAGTTACCCTGGAATCACTGTATGTGTACTCAGTTTAACCTGATGCTCAGGTGTAACTTCTTCAGTAGCCATGCTTGTAGCATTTCATAGGTAAAAGGAAAACTGCTTTTATACTTCTCCTGATCTGATTTACCTACTAATTACATTGTCTATTTTATACATGGAAGCAAACTGTCTGAATGGGAGTGCTAACTCTTTAATGTACCTCTCTGTGCTTGACAGCTTCCCTGTGCCAACAGTATTTCTGGTATCTGAAGCTTTCAAACATTCTACAGTTGGATTTGTGGGGACAAGTACATTTGGGGTGGTGAACTGCAGACTTCTGCTCAGTATTGTCGTAGCATCTGCAAAGCTCATTGTAGGCCTGCGAGAATATAAAAAATTGCCCACAGTTGCTGCTGGACTTTTTCTTGTCTCACGTAGCAGTGAGATGGAAGCAGCCTTTTTCATATATATATATTTTTTCCTTTTAGAAGCCTGTTTGTTGCATTTGCCTGCCTGATTTCCATTCAGAGTTAGTTTTGTTTTATTAGGGGAGGGATGCATTAGATGAATTGCAGGTAAGCCTTGTTGGTGCTGGTGGCACCATCTGTTAGCTTAGATGCAATGCTGTAAAAACTTGGCTCTAAAAGCAACATAATTGCTGTGTTTGCATGTTACTGTGCTCCAAGCTAATGGTTACAAAGCTCTCATTCTGACCTTCACTTATATTACTAATTAACAATATGATGAAATCTTGGATTTACGAGTTGCCTGTGCTAAGGCACTGCACCCCAAGGGAGAGCTTTATTCTTCCCTTGCTTCAATTCCTTACTGAAATTGCTATACTTTTCAGGCTTATGGAAGATCTCTAGTCCTTAAGTTTATGCATCTGGGGTTCTTTCACTATTAATGTTCTAGGTTTTTAATGCTTCCTTAGCACTCCTAAAAAGTAAAGTTAGTGTCCTGTATTGGACATGAGTTCTTTTACTCATAATTTGTTCCTTGAATTTCTGTTAACTTTTGAAGCACACTTTTTTTTTTTTATCTCACGATAATCCATAAGGTTTAAAGAACTTCACAATAATGTCTTCAGAATTTAAAGGTTATGCTGCTTGTCTTGTAAGATTGTACTTGCATTATATCTTGGTGATATCGACCTGTTGTGGGTGCCTATCTTTCTCTCACCAGTTGAGCTTGTTAGTCTTCCTGCTTTGTCACCTTGTTTCAAAATGAAACACGATTTATCTGATTAGAAACATGAGGTAAGATTGGACTGTATCAGCCCAGGCATACCTGCTTGAGTTAGAACAATGACTAATTTGCAGCCTCCATTCCTAGCCAAGAACCTTGGCTAAAATTTCAGTTGACTTCCTGGGTCACATATTTAATGTGCTTCAATAACTACTGCAAAGTCACATTCTTATGCAAAGTGGTTGAGAAAAGCTGGAAGTGGTTAAAAATATCTGAGGTTATAACTAAAGTTCAAATCTCTTAAATTTTTTTTTTTTTTTTTTAACCTCCACTTCATCCACCCCTATGAAAGATGCTGTAATAGAGGTTTCAAATACTTACCAGTTAACTATTCGGAATCTTAAGTCATGAATTGGGATCTTAGTGTGTTGCTCCAAGTACTGTCATGCTTATCACCACTCTGTTAGAGTGAAGTAGCTGTGTAACTTTTCATATATGAATTAAGCTTTTGAATGTGTTGATGTTTTTTTCCACTGCAAAAGGGTCAAATTTGTAAGTGCTTCAAGCCTGAAACCTGCCATCTTTTTGGGACAGTGAGATACTGAAGGTGAGGAAGGTTAAAGTTGTGTTACTTCTTCATAAAACTAATGATTTTCCAGAGGATTATAACATTATTTGTTTACTTTCCACCTTGTTAATCCAATTTGATGGAAGGCCTTCAGAGAAGACATGGCAAAAGTGAATGCCAAACTATACTTGAGTAAAGGAACAAGGAAGAAATAATTCAGTGCATCGTAACTCTTTGAAATCTCATTCCCATTGTCTTCCTTTGCTGAGGAAGGACATAGAATGACTTGGGTTGGAAGGGACCTTAAAGGTCATCCAGTTCTGACACTCCTGCCATGGGGAGGGTCATCCCCAACTAGACAGAGCCCCATCCAACCTGGCCTTGAACTCCTCCAAGGATGAGGCATCCACAGCTTCTCTGGGCTGCCTGTGCTGGTGCCTTGTCATCTTCTGAGTAAATAATTTTCCCCTAACATCAATCTAAATCTTCCCTCTTCTAGCTTAAAACCATTTCCCCTTGTCGTATCAGTACTGGATGGTGTAAAAGTTGATCTTTATCTTTTTCTTTATTCTGTGAAGGGGAGATCACTGGCTAAATCTCGTTTTTCCATAATTGAAATGATGAAAAAGAGTATCTTTGTGCCTTCTTGGCGTGTCATTATGTGCAAGAAATTCAGAAGGGAAAGTAGATGCAGCAACATTTACCTAGAAGCTGTCTTTCCTGTGCATCTTCAGGCAGGAGGATGTAAAAGGTGAATCTAGATGGTTTGTTTACTCCAATCTAAAAGTTATGAAACTTGTTATGAAACCGTAAAATGGGGAAGCTAAAGGAAAATGTACTCTTCCTTCAGTTGAGCACTGCAAGTAGAAGCTTCTCAGTACTTATTTGTGTGAATTGTTATTAAAGAAACTGGTATAAATGCTCCCAGTTCTGCTTCCGTGTTAGAAATACCAGGCACTAGTAGTCGGTCAGACAGATCTTCTATCTTATCCTGCCACCTAATAAAAAAATGCCTCTCTCCATATTTTCAGTTATGTTGTGAAAAACAGGAAGAAATGTGATGCTGGCTCTTTACCTTTGTCATAAGTCTACATTTTCCTTTTGTAGTGTTTTACAAAGGCTTGTTTTTGTGACATTAGCAAATGAATTCTGTATTGTTATGATCACTGAATGTCAAACTTCCTTTACATTTAATAGTAGTGATGGAATCTCATGACTTTCAAGCATTTTAAGTAGGCCAGAAAAACACGTTCTTGAGTGCTCAGATGTCCTTGCTCTCACACTTTGGGTGACACACAAGAATGTCAAACTGTTTTCCTGACAAAAGTTGGAAGGGAAGCTGGAATTCAGGAAACTCTTGTGCACAGAAAAATCCTGTGGGACTTCAGTCATGATAAGCTGTGGAGAACAGAGGTGCCGTAATGAAGTTTAATTGTTTGGCTTCTGAATAAAAAAAATGTGATAAGTTCTAACAATAGCTCTGTAATAATAGTAATGCTGCTTTATTATATGCTTTTCTAACATACAGAAAATATAATAGAGTGCCTCAACCTTCTCAGTGCTTTCTCATTTCCAGGTGATGTTGCACTGGCACGTGCTCTGAGAAGTAACAATACTGTGTTTAACAAAGTTCGGTTGGGATTTTTTTCAGGACTTAAGAATGAAGAGTTCTCAACTTTTTCCTGCATTTTCTTGATTTATTTTACTTTATTTTACAAATTACATTCATTGATTCAGAAAACACCTTGTTCCTTTTATTACCAGTTTGCTGTATTGCATTGTTTCCTTTCATTTTCGATGTGTTTCAGGACTTTGTCCCATTGTATCAGGACTTTGAAAATTTCTATACCAGAAACCTCTACATGCGCATTCGAGACACCTGGAACCGTCCAATTTGCAGTGTGCCAGGGGCCAAAGTGGACGTGATGGAGAGAGTTTCCCATGACTATAACTGGACATTCACGTGAGTCAGATTGAAGGAAAGGCTTCCACCAGCTACTTCTAAGTAGGGTCTCTGAAAGCACATTGAAGGCTTTGCGGTTAAAGAAGTGATGAATTATGTTTATTTTGAGATTTACACTGGCTGTTTTGAACCACGTCTGGCCACCAAGATGACTATATGATCTTTGGTAATAACACTTACTGTGTTATTATACTTACAGAACATGATTCTGCATGCATTAAGATTTCATATATAGTCTATGAAATCTATATTCCAATGGTAAGACATACGCTTTTGTGTGTGGTGCACAGAACCTGGAGTAGGTCCTTTGGATTGCCTGACTTCTCGTGCTCACTTAGAACCAGTCCAGACACTTGTAAATTTGTGAAACACAACCAAAAATTCAAGGGCAGATGTATTTTGTTGTCTTCTGTTTTTTTGTTTTTATTTTTAAATTGGAAATGACATAGCACAAGGCTTGACATGAAGAGGTTTGCAGCATAGTATTTGGTGAAACTAGTCATATTTTCTTGGCTTTCAAGGGGAAAATAATTAAAACTTCTTTTTCCACTAAACTTCTTTTTTAATCTCCTTGTCACGTAGCATCAGCACAACAGTGCCAGATGTGTTTCCTTTCCATGGTTAGAGGATATCCTGCTTGAGGGGCTGCCAAGTTAACTGATCTAGATATCTTATTTTCTAATTGGACAGCAAATTGTGTGTTTCTGAGATGGAGGAGGAACAATTTTGAAAACAAACTGTTTGAAAATCCTGAAGTAGTATTTGATATAATAGCATAACTGCCTTTTTATATAGACTGTTGCGGGAACTTCCATTTTTAGTTTGCAACTATGAGAGAAGGAGAATGTATTTTTTGTTGCTGGAGTTTGATAATGAGGATCAGTGCTGAAAAAATTTAATTGTTGATTTTATAGACTTTTTACTAATGTTTCAGTACATACTCTATGAAACTCAAAGAATAGTCTTCTGGCTGAGTTTTGCAATGTTGTGTGTCCTAATTTTTAATTTTTTTTAACACAGGTACACAGGGAGAGTGATAAAAGGTGTTATTAATATGGGTTCTTATAACTACCTTGGATTTGCACAGAACAATGGGACTTGCCAGCAGGCAGCAGCTAAAGTTCTGTCCCAGTATGGAGCTGGGGTGTGCAGCAGTAGGCAAGAGATGGGTAAGTTGGAGGAAGATAGGACGTTCCTTCAATGTTTGTTTCAAAGTATTTAATTTGATCTCAAATCTTCTAAACATTACTTATTTCAACTCTGGAACTTTAGACTAAGCAATAAAGAAATCATTGTTTTAGTGAAGATAAATTGGCCTTCTGGGTTTAGTTTATACAGCACAGCTGTTGATTTGTTAATGTTTGCAGTGTTACTGTCTGGGGTTTTGAGTAAAGACTGTACTGGTTGATGAAGATGTTTACTGTAGAATACAGCAATAGTGAAAGCTTTTAACCCTGAATTTCTTCTGTTTAATGTGCAGGAAACTTGGACAAACATGAGGAGCTGGAAAAGCTGGTTGCCAGATTTCTAGGTGTGGAATCTGCAATGGCATATGGCATGGGATTTGCAACCAACTCTATGAACATTCCAGCCTTAGTAGGCAAGGTATGGCTCAAGTTACTGGTAAGAGCACATCTAACAAAGACTGTGGGTTCAGTTTTCTAAAATCTACTTGTCTATTTTTTATTTTTTTTTTTACTTCCGTGACAGCACCTGCAAATATTCTCTGTGGAAACTAAGTCACAGAAAACATTACTAGCTTTGTAAAAATCTTTGGGCAGCAGCATCCTATGGACCAGTAGCACTCCAAATCTTGAAAGAACAGCTTAGCATGTTATGGCTTGCTTCCTCAGGCTACTTGTTAGTATAGTAAACGGTGGTTCATTGACTTAAAGATATTTTGATGCTCTTGAGACACCAAGAATTAACTGTCATTCTGCAGGACTTCAGTGGGTGGTGAAACAAGTAATTATTTAAGCTAGCAGCAGTTGTGTGTCTTTATTTACCACATTAAGGCTGCAAATCATTTCTTAGCCAGTCTTGCCTGAGCCAGCTGCATTTATGTTGGATTTTTTTCCTTTGGCTGTTTGGGTTTTTTTGTGTTCTTAAATTAGCTCTGAGCAATTGAGAGTTTAAAGGTGTTGCGTGCTGTGAAAATTAACTTTTTCAATATCTTTTCCCTTCCCCTTCTAATTCAGGGCTGTCTAATTTTGAGTGATGAACTGAACCATGCATCTCTAGTACTTGGGGCAAGACTGTCAGGAGCAGCTATTCGAATCTTTAAGCACAACAGTAAGTATCAAATGGTGGACGTTGCCTTTCTGCTGCGTCTTCAGATCAGATGGAAACTCTTTTCTAATACTTGGAAATCCCATTTCATGTAAGAAATCAGTTGCTGGTTACCTGAAAGGTCTGCTGCTGACTGCTGCTACTATTCAGTCATTTTGAGTTGGAAATTGTTTTATATATTCAGTCTAAAATAGTAGGGCTTAGATCATTAAGATGGGCTGACTTGCATCTCTGCATGTGAAGAACAACACATTGCTCTCTGGCAGGTTTACAGGCAGTAGTGTTGTAACGTAGCTTCTTGTTACCTGGTTAGCTCAGCACTGTCAAGCTCATCTAATAGTCCGTGTCACGTAGTAACGTAGTCTTGTAGAGGTCTAGGTTATGATTTGAGGCAATAGGAAAGTTTTTAACTTTAGGATGAGATGCTAGCATGGTCCTACATCTAGAGAACTTTAACAATAGAGATGTCATGGCCAAACTTGACCACTGTGTGCTCATACAGTGTAGCACAAAAGGGATTTCAGGACATGAAGCATTGATTAACTGCTACTTGTGTGTATTTTGAAAGCAGATACTTAGAATTGTCATTTTGCTGGTTTCAGCTTCCTCCAAGGGAGGCGTTTTATTTTTCAAATTAAAAAAGACTCTTCTTAGTCGCAGTGAAGGACATACCATCTTCCTGATTCATGAAGTCACTACCTTCATTCTTCAGTTACTCATAACTCGTAATGCACTTTTTATGTTATCATTCTCTGAGATCACGTTGACTCTTCTTCCTTTGAAATCTCTGGTGGTGACAGCAGAGTTTGGGTGGCTCTAGTTCTTTTTCTTTCCTTGTCCTACTGGGTGGTAAATCCTTTACTGTGTTTCTTTGTTTATTGTTTATTGTGTTTATTTAGTCTTTCTTGCTTTCTCTGTTGTTTGAGTGCTTTTCCTTAAAGAAGTACAGAGAGTACTGGTAACACTTCATTATTTTTTTTTTGGTCACCATTCTTCATCAGTCTTGAATGCAGTGCGTTTTGGTTGCTGGGCAAGATCACAAAAACTTTGCACTCATCTTCTGTGTTTATATAGGCATATTTCTGAATATTGTCCCATGTTCCAGAATTTTAGGGAGTGCTCACAGAAATATAGTCCTGGTTATTATGTGAGAAGGACTTAGAAGCTCTGGCATTATAAGGAAGAACAGATGTGGGATTATAGGGTACAAACTAGCAATGGTGAGCCTATGGGTTACTCTAGAAACTTCCTACATGTTGGGGATCCATGAAAGAGAATGGAGTAGCAGATTAGAATCAGAAGGTAAAATGCAAGCAATAAACTGCATGTATTCTTAGTACTATCTTGTTATGGTCTATGCTGCTTTAATTAATCTCATTTTTTCCAAGACACGAATGGCTTCACTCATTATTTTTAGAAATTTTCATTTTTTCCCTACTTCACTGTGTAGTTTGTTCTTTTTATTAAGGTTAGACTTACTTTGTAATCCTTCTCTTCCTTGAAAGATTAGAGCAGAAGGCATTTACTCTAGTATTTTCCATAACTGCTCTAAATTCATCCTTTTTTCCATGGGGGAGATAACGGAGAAAGGGATTATTCCACTGTTTATTTGATCTTTGTCTTTTTTCTGATCACTATTTCTAACAGTTAAGTTGACCTGTTTTATTCTCTAATTTCTAGTCTAGTTCTACTTCATAAACTCCACTTGCTGCTAAAATGGTTTTAGTCTACTGGTCGTCTTTTCATGATTTATGAGGTTCTTTGTGCTCTTTTATTTGCTTGTTTCTTGCTCAACATCTTAGTTTTTATGGTTGGATTGCTGCTATCTCTGTTTCTTCCTCACGATTTTTTATCTTCAGGACTGATTTCACATGTATGCATTTGTTTATGTTACACTGTTAGGTGTACTTGGATTATGTCAAGTGTTTTTAGTCAAACCTAATAAGGTTTCAGATTACATGTCTACTAACATCATCATCCATCTAGCTTCTGGTATGCTTAGCATTGTCATTATTTCCTGCACTCGTTCTCCCTTTTTCCTCCCTGTTTGTTTTTGTAGTTTCCCGTTCCACACCTTTTGTCTCTTTGTCTTTTAAACAGAAAATCCTTGTTCTTCACTTTGGTCAGTCTTCTACTTTGGCTGATTATCTTTGAGCTTGCTCCTTATTTCTATACCTAAAGACACTGTTGCCCCTTACATTCCTTTCTCTTTTCCTAGCAATGGTATGCCTTCCTCCACCCCGTATTCATTCTTCCTCTGCCCTCCTAGTCCTTCTTTGCAACTTGTGCTACTGCTTGTACTTTTAATTTAGGATGGTCAAATTCTTCATCAGAGTTTGTGTAATCACCCAGTCCCCCTGATCTCATCTATAGGCCTGCAGCTAGATGAAGCCTATGCTTACTGATTTATATATGGTCTCTCTTCCATACGTAATCCATTTGTGTGTTTTTGGAGCGATGCTATCTGTTGTCATGTTAGAGCTCAAGCCAGTAGCTGTTTCAGTACCATTTAACAGTAATTTCTGGTGCAGATATGCGAAGCCTGGAGAAGCTGCTGAAAGATGCTATTGTGCATGGGCAACCTCGTACACGGAGGCCCTGGAAAAAAATTCTTATCTTGGTGGAAGGAATATACAGGTACAAACTATACTTCATATTCCTAAGACCCTCTGCATATGATCTAGCTGCTTAGTGTTTGGGTTCATTTGTCAAATCAAACTGAATATTATCACTTCACAGTTATTTCATGAATCTCTTATCTGAGGTTTAATTGAAGTATGTATGCTTAACATCCTAAACTTTTTGTTGCTAGTATGGTAGGTGCACCTGGTATTATCACAGTGCTCACCACGTCTAGATCAGGTTTTAGAAGTTAATCTAAATTGATATTCATATCAGAGCTGAGGTCTTAAATTGCTTGTCTATTCCATTCTTACTGTGCTCAGTGGATGATGCTGATGTGAATGGAATTATGCAATGTGAAGGTTTTTTGTGTGTAGGAGTATGTAGTTTTTGCTAATTGGCATTAAAATCATCAATGTGACTTTCAGCACAAAACAGTTCAAGACTATCCTTAGCCCTAAAAACAGTAAGCAAGTAGGATGTCAGATCAAAATACTGATGTTAGAGTGGAAGTGTAAAAGGGATAATTTAATTTATTAAACTATCAGCGATGATGTTCCTTTGCCTCTTATTGCTACTGCTACTGATTTTTCAGTATGTCAGCATCCCAAAGAGGTTAAACAGGTAGTATATAGTTACCTGAGCAGTAGGTCCAAAGAGGACTTGTTTTTCAACTCTGCAGAAGAAAAATGCATATAGAAAGTTCTATGTGGTCACAATTAATAAGAGTAAAGAATAGAAATTTTAGTGATGTCTGGCTCTGCAAAGAGAACCCCAACCATTAAGTCAACTCACAATTAATTTCTGTTTCTCAACAGTATGGAGGGATCCATAGTCCGTTTGCCTGAAGTGATTGCCCTTAAGAAGAAGTATAAATCCTATCTGTACCTTGATGAGGCTCATAGTATAGGTGCACTGGGTCCTACTGGTCGGGGTGTAGTGGAGTATTTTGGACTCAATCCTGAAGATGTGGATGTTATGATGGGAACATTTACCAAAAGCTTTGGAGCTGCTGGAGGATACATCGGGGGCAAGAAGGTAAAAAGCTGAAAATGAAAAAAAATGAAAAAAAAAAAAAAATGTTTGAGACTGGTGTTGTAGCTCTTTATTAAGCATTTCCATGTTGATTTGTTTCTTAAATTGCCCTTATTGTCCATTTGTTTCATAATTTTACTTACTGTCTAGTACAGTGAAAGTCTGTTCAGTGCCATTGAGCCTAATCTAATAAACTACCTCATAATTCTGTAGTTTGCATGTCGTCAGTGGTGAGCTTAGTTTTGCAGAAAGTCTGGTTAAGAGTGTAGTATCTTAGGAACGGTTAGGAGCCAGGAAGCAGGAATTTCTCAATATTACTTCTAATGAAGAAGGAAGAATGCCAAAAGCTTGAGGTTTTTCAGCTCATTTGGAAAAAATCCATTTCTTAGCTTAGCATAGTGGGGATGATTTCTTCTGGACATCAAAAGTTTACTTTTGAAAAGACTTCCTCGTGTGTATGGGCACTGATTCTTTTGTATTGAAAGGTACTACTAGAACATACTGGCCTTTGTCAAACTGCTCCTTTTGGCAGGGATGATGTAGACAGTTACATGTGTCCCTTCATATATCCTTGCATGTATAGTACAGATGAGACTTATAGTAAACCTTTAATTCAGAGGAAAACTCTACTGTTTTCCTGTCAGGATGATTAGTTGTTTAGATGCAAATAGTGATGTACTTCACTCCATCCGAATGGGGATGGGACTTGCAGAAGTTCTTTTCTGAGATTTTACTGCAACTGGCATAAAATGAGTCTGACATGTTAACCAGAACAAAGCACCATCTTATTCTTTTTCCAAGGTAGCAGAATTAACTCCCTTGGTGTATGGTGAAGCAGCCAGGAGTCCTTCATGGTTGCTTTTTAGGTACTCTTGTTTGTGGAATTACTTCAGAAGAGGCCTTAAATGCTCCTGCCCTGGGTTATTTCAAAATCCTTTTACAACTTCCTTTAATTTAACTCTGACTCCAGGCAGACAATAATATAAAATTGAATGATTCTGCCTCTTTATAATATATTCCCTGCTTGTGCTGTGGATGGGGCAATCTTAACAGTTTTATGATGGAATCTGTCCTGGCGTTTGTACTGGTTTTTGGGATATTTTACTGGAGTTGTCTCATCATTATGAAGGGTTTTGTTTCAACTAAACAACAAGCAACCTGGATCAATGGTATGTTTGTCTTTTGTTCCCATATGACCTGTCTTTACCCCCTAACCAATCTAGAGTGTATACTTACTTGGGAAGTGCAGGAGTGGTAGCCTAGATTCTTGCAATCTTAAAGAGGTTTTATTTATATTGCAACAGTAAATGGGAGAAAGTAGTGTTTTGTAGCCTGTGCTCTGTTTGGTGATTTCTTTTATGGGGAAGCAATTATATTGAGCATAATACATAAGCTCCTATGGATACTGCTCCCCACTGTTTCACTTGTTTTATACTCCTATGATTATAATAAATGCTCTTGAAATAAGGGTTTGCACACAATTTAGTAGTGCAAGACACCTCGTTGCAATCTAATGCTGTTGTTATTGCTAAGCAGATCTGTCATAGTCACTTATCTTTCATCAATGGATATTCTTGCCCTGGGGATATAATTATAGGTAGTCACATCTCTGCTGCTCACATCTCAACTGTTCATTACTTATACTGTAAAATAAGTCCCTGAGCTATCTGTTGTTTTCCAGGACATGCTGGAAGAGGTTTGTTGTAATGGCCTTACTCTGTTGCTAAAGCATTCCTCTGGAGTGCTGAAAAAGCTGTGTCTGATGGCCTCTTGTGTTTTTCTAGGAGCTGATTGATTACCTCAGGACTCACTCTCACAGTGCTGTGTATGCAACATCACTATCACCTCCTGTTGTGGAGCAAATCATCACCTCCATGAAGTGCATTATGGGTGAAGATGGTACAACTTTTGGTGAGTCTTTGCAACATTAAGCACCTGGAAGAGGGCAGAGAAAATTCATTCAGCAAATACATTCATGATTGCCTGTAGGCTTACTATCCTACTTGGCATATCAGCATAATAAACGTGTAAAGTGTTTTCGGCTAAAGGTAAGTCATCCTAGGCTTATGCAGGAAAGTACTGTTTTGTATTGATTTTTTTGTTGTTGGTCTGTATGTAGCTTTTCTAGCTTTCCCCTCTTTTGTTCTTCTGTCCATTGTTATTTTCCCAACTTTTTAGAGTACTTTGTTGTATGTTTTACAGTCTTGCTTGGTTACTGGAGGGGACAGTGGTTTCAGTTTTTCATCTGTAGCGTAGCTTGATGTTTTCACCTTGGTTAAAGTAAATGAGGGCATATTTTTAAAATCCCTTTTTACTTAAGGAGCTAGAGGCAGAATTCAAGATCAGAGGATTTAATACACTGACAGAGGTGTGTTCAGCTCTCTTGATTCAATTTTTTTTTTTCATGCTAGATAAGAAAGGGAAGATCTGTAGAATTCTTGATTCATGTAAAGTCCTAAAGCCAAATTTATGCAACTTGTTTGCTTCATAAGTAGAGGTTGTTTTTTTCAGGCATGAAATAAATAACTTACACATCAGAAGGGCAGGCTTGAAACTGAAATTGTACAGCACTTTGCACATAGAATACTTTTCCATCTTCATTTTTTCTTAAAACATTGTGAGCAGCTCACACAGCATGGCAGCATAGCTCACAGAGGATCTCTCAGTGGCTTTCAATTCAGATGCTCTTAATATATTTAAGCATTTGAATTCTCATTTACAGTAGTTTCAGGCATCTGGCCACAAGGTGGTGGTGTGCACTGATGAGTGGTATTTGCTTTTGAACTTGGATAACCTGGTCAGTTAACTCAGCTGGTAACTCTTACAGTGGAAAAGTATACTGGTTAAATAACTTTAGAACCGAAGTTGTCCCTGTTAATGCCCTCAGAATGGATAATAAACTAATTTCAGACTACCTAAAAAGTTGTGCCAAAGTGCTGCATTTTGCATCTTAAAAATGATTGAGCTCTTTTTAACTAACGATGTGCTCAAGTGTCGATTGATTTGGGTTTCCTCCAATATCTGTTTAGCGTAATGAAGTTGAAAAAAGAAATGTGAAACAGAAATCAGTTATAAACTATGCCATTTTTGCCCCTTTCTGAGGCTACAGGATAGTATTCATTCAAGCTGTGATAAGGGAAGCAATGTCCATGGTCTGCCTTTCTCCTGCCATTATACCAGCAAGACCCATCCACACTGAAATCAGGAACCAGTCAGTTAAAGTAGCCTTAAAACTCAAAATACCTTTTTTTTATTGTGTTGCTTAATATGCACATCAAGCTATATCCTAGTTTGGTGCATAGGACTGCCAGTATTCCTAGCCACTCTTTCTACTGCAAAAAAAAAAAAAAAAAAAAGCTTATGGTGTTTGAAGGCTGGATCATTTCAAGGAAGCTTCTACTTCAGAATTATGATTGAGTTTTAGTGCTTTTTTTTTTTTTGTAGAAGTGCTGGGTATTGCAACTGAGTAGCCTGTATAATCAATGAATATAAAGGTGTTATAATTATGAAATAAACAAGAGAGTTTAGCTAAGCAGGTTAGAATAACAAAAAGAGAATAGATAGAAAGCTTACCCATGTCCTAGGTTCGCTGCAAAACTCCAGAGGAGGGATCTCCAGATGAGATCCTTCCCCACTGGCAGTCAGCTTTTAAATGGGTCTAGGAGAGGTGCAGCCAGGCTCCACCCCTTCCGGCAGTACAGGTGAATTGCCTTCAGCTGAGCTCCATGGCTGACTCATTGCTCACCTCAGGTGATCCATCAGAGGTTCAGGCTGTGATTCAGCAGTTCCCATACACTTGCCACAGTTCTGTCTGGTCAAAAAGGATTTCTCAGCTACAGCTCTAGTGAAAGCGTTAGTGTCTCTGTAATTATCTAACTCAGACTTTATCTGGCGTAAGTTCCTTACAGAATAATTCTTGCATGGAGTTGTGGAGTTGGTTTTTTCCTTTTTTTTTTTTTTTTGTGTGTGTGTGTGTGTGTGTGTGTGTGTGTGTATTGCTGTTTCCTAGTTAAGCTCTTTAATTTCTTTGAGGCTTTAAAGATAGTAGTACTTCATAGGATTTTCTGTGCCTGAAATTAGCTAGTGTAATTGTGTGAATTGAACAGCTGCTTAGTGATAACATGACAAAGTCTTCTCCTTATTTAAGGGATTTGGCTGAAAAACTTGTCGTTTTGATTCTGTGGAATTGTGTTTGAGGGTCTGAAGAACTGCTGTCTGCATTTGGTTTGACCACAGAAAGTCTGAAGTAGAGTAGTTCTGGAGAGTCGTTAACTGTGGAAGGCATGCAAGAAGTAGTGCTAAACTGGGAAACTGGGTTGCTGATAAGCATCTCTGAATAAACCAAGCATTACAAAAATGTAACTACTTTTAAATTAATCAAGCTGAACTAATGGATAAGGTGGGCTGAGATAGGACAGTGGGTTTTCTCTGTTTTCCAAGGGTGCAGTAGGTGGAGCTGAATCAGAACGATAAACTGTTTGCTAGATCCAAACCTTATTCATTCACAACTAACTCTTTTAATGGCTTCAGGAATGCTTGCTTGTAAAGTCTTTGTGGCTTCTTTATCTGCCTGTTTCTCTTCACCATTGTTAGTAAAAGTAACCATTCTCCGTGGCATCAAACCTTTGTGGAAACTGTGGTTTCAGATTAGGATGATCTGTAACTGAGGAATATGTCATAGAAAGTAATTCGTTTTTATGGATAAAAGATTTTTGTGTATTACTTTGCAAGAATAAATTAAAATTCTCTTCTGTGTTTAGGACTATTTCTGAATTTAGTGAAACATCTAGAGGCTCTGAATTTTCAGTACAAGGTGTTGTAGTTACTAAAACCTTACATAACTATAAAAGAAAACATCTAGTTTCAGATCTTTCTCACAAGCTGCTAGAGAATAAGCAAAGTATTTGTAATAGGCAGCACGCACAAAATACAGATGCTATGAAAAGTTGAATTGCTGTTCACAGAGAATGTAGAACTGACAGTCTGCAAATATGCTGCCTGAACTGGGACAGCAGTGTCTTGTGTCTTGGATTCATTCAGTTCAAACTAATCTGTTAATTCCAGGTACTGTTAATGCATGTAAGTGACTGTCTGGACTCAGTCTCTGAAAGCAGTTACAGGAACACATTTGTACATAAATGCAAGCATATTACTTTGCCTTTCAGCCAGACTGTAGAAAAAAAACAAAACAGAACAAAAAAGCAGTTTAACAGACAAAATGATGGTGGAGCCCTTTCTTGATTAAAAAATGTTCTTCCAATACTACTTCTGAAACTCCTCTACACTACTTGGTTACTGTAGTACATCTGTCCTATTTTATTTCTCATTATTTCTCTTACACTTGAAGACCAAGTAAATATGAAGGTAAAACATGCTTAACTTGTGATTACTTTGATAACTTTTTCAGCAGAACAGTCCTTAAGAGTGGTGAACATCTTAGGCATGTTAAATGTCTTCAGGGAGCTCTCCGGTCAGTGATAATGTACCACAGTCATTGTATTTGATTCTGCTATGTAGTAGAGTAGAGTGAGGAGAAGGGATGGAGAAAGCCTTTTCCACAGGTGAATTTTTGGTGCTGGTGTTCCAATTCAAAGTCATTATGACTGAGCCACATACAGGCAAGTGTTGCAGAAACTTGTCAGCGGCTCAAGGTGTGCTTCTCTGTCTCTCTGTTCAAGTCACAAAGTTGAATAAGTTATGGCTGGTTTTATAGATGAACATATTTTCGATAGTAACTGAAAGAAAAGCCATAAGCAGCTTTTTGGGAGTTCAGTCAGTATACACTAAGATGACAAAATGATTCCTAGAATGGGGCTCTGAAAACTTGTAGGGCCACTGAATTCTTGCCATTCCCATGGTGTTTTGTTTATTTAAATTGACTGGGGAAGATGAGTCACCTGGTGGTTATCCCGGTACATTAGATATTGTTAGCTTATATGGTATTAAGTACTTAACCTGCCTTGGTGAATTTTTCAGACTCAATTGTTCTATTTGAAAGTTGACTTTTTGCTGTTACAAGCTCACTAGGACTGGGAATCTAGTTATCTCCTTTTTTTTGTAAGAGATCGTAATGTACCTTGTGCAACTGGGGCTCTGCTAGTATTGTTGGTTTTCAAGACCCAGCCTCTTTGTTGCCCTGATAATGTTGCATGGGGACAAATGAAGAAAAACATATAAAGGAACAAGACATGGGTAAATTAAAACATGCAAGATGAAGCCAGTCTAGGGACTGGTTAACCTCTGTCAGAGATAAAATATAGTTTGTTCTCCTGCATATTAAAAACTGAATGCTTAATGTTTAAGTTTTAACTGTTAATAGCTTATAAAGAGGTGAACTGCTTCTTTCCATGTCCATAGTTCAGCAATAGTAGTTATGCATACAAGTTTACTGTCATGTATTTCATTGTCAGGAGGTAAGTATCCCATGCCTTATCAGTGCTGTACTAAAATAGCATTTGTAGAATAAGTTATGGAGACACCTTCGACAAGATAGCGTTTCAAATTTGTGTGAATATTGGCTTCAGCACTGTATAGAAAACCAAGTTTACTATCTTATATAGCTCTAAAGTTTTAGACAATGGAGATGGAAGTATTGCAGTTTGTCTGAGCTGCTAAACTATCAAAAACAACTAACTTTTGAAGGCTAGCCAGTTAGCTGCGTCTAGTTTGATAGGTGTTTGTCATCTTAGCACCTTAAACTTGAGTAACTAGTAGTGTATCTGGTCAGTTTTAATAATTAAAAAAAAAAAAAAAAAACCATGATTTGTAATCTTGCTGTTGTTGTATGCAGTGGATTTGAGTGAATTAGATTAAAAAAAAAAAAAAAAAAGTCGTGTTAAACCAATTATTACCAACAGCAATTAGGATGTACAGCTGTGTTGGCAGGGAACCGTGAGCTTAACTCAACAATT